GCTAACAGCTTGCTTCTGTAGCTCCTGTGCACTCATTCAATGGCACCTTTGTCCTATGAAAGCAGCAGTCTCTGACTCGTTTCCTTTTGCTTGCCTCACCTTAACTTCATTCACACTTCACAAAATCACCAGATAGCTCTGTTGGACAAATCTTGCCTTTCAAGAGGAGTAGCAAGGGCAAGAAAAACAGTTCTGGTATAGGGCTTAGGCTTTATTAATTAAATGTGTCTGCCTGTGTTAGGGAGAACTCGATTCGGTGATCCAGATGAGTTCCTTCTGGACACATGGCCCTAAGTTCAAGGAAAAGCTTGTTTGTTAGGGCAAGGTACAGCACAAAGGGAGGTTAAAATGCACTGGCATGTTTTGTGGGCTTTCCTCCACCTTGCTTGCCAATTGCATTCCATCACTCACCTGTCCTGCACCTTTTTTATCTCATGTGCTGAATTATCTCTTGCCTACATCTCTTCATTCTTTCCTGTTTGATGTTCATTAGGCCGGTAATTACTTTTAATTCAGTGTTTATGAACTGAGGCTGGTATTTATAAACCTTGGTGCCAGCAGTTCAACAGTTGTTCTTGGATGTCCAAGAGAAAGTCAAAGCTGTCGACATAAGTAGGAGTCATGAACTCTTAATGTATAAAAATCCTGTGCTGCAGTTTGCATGCTGCATAGAGTGGTGAGGAGGAGATATCTGTTGGGCTTTTGGCCAGTTGGTTATTCTCATGTCTCATTTTGGGTAGGAGAATAGCTTTAAAGGCTGTTTCCCCCCTGGCAGCTGCAGCCGTGCTGATGAGAAAACAGGGCAGTGTACACCAGCTGGCAGCGGCGAAGTTCGGCTTCCCGGTTAGTCACCTAAGCTCCTCAGTGCCTCAGCCACCCAAGTCTGAAAGCTGAAAAGAAGTGACAAATGGGGAGGGAGACTAAAAAGGATGTATATGTGGGCTGACATAAAAAAAAAAAAAAAAGAGAATAATCCCTAGATCATTATCTTACTTAATTATAAGCTTTAGTTAGGTTCACTGCAAAAATATAATAGAAAATGTCCTTGAGCTGCCTGCCTTTGAATTTGGCCACTAGTACGTTTCCAGTCCTCACCTTTTGTCCTCACCACGCTCACGTGTTGCAGCACCTTTTGGTGTGTTCAAACATTGGGGTTTGCTTGGGCAAACTGTGCCCATTGTGCCATATTATCCCTAGGTGCAAAAGTACACCCCCACTGGCAACTTTGTGGCCGTGTTAGGAGTATGCAGAGTAGGACTTAATGAGCAGAAACAAAAAGACGGTAATTGAGAGTTTTCATGCTAGCACTTTTCTCTGGTAATCTAAAACCAATACCAATGTCACAGAAGTCTCAATAATATTTTAAGAGCTGCAATAATAATGAAACATGTCTTATAAGGAACAAAAGTATGTAGGATTTTTTATATGCATTTGTGCCATCTGTTTTTATGTAGATGTATTCATGGTTATGTGATCAAAATTGGTGTATAATAACTGTATTACAGACTAAATTTAGTTTCTGAACTAGCTACTTAAAACTTCCACTGTAGTGCAAGTCAAATTAAACCACAGTTAACATACTTAGTTTTTTGTTAAAATTTTTAGTTTTGTTGACAAACAATTAGCTTTCACAAATGTGTCACCTGTAGCACATTTAAATATTGGGCAGATACAAACATAACTTATTGTAATGACGGTCACTTTAAGGAAAAAAAGCTTTACTCAGAGGGTAGTGAGGCACTGGAACAGGTTGCCTGGAGAAGTTGTGGATGCCCCATCTCTGGAAGTGTTCATGGCCAGGTTGGGGGGGAGCCCTGAGCAACTTGGCCTAATGGAAGGTGTCTCCTACAACAATGGAGTTGGAATTAGATGATCTTGAAGGTCCCTTCAAACCCAAGGTCCCTTCAACTCCTCTTACGATTCTGTGAAAAAATTGAAGAATTAATGAAACACATAATAATAACCTCATGCTTTTAAGAAGGAACATTAGGGAACAAGGCAGTAGTAACACTTCTTTCCAGTTTTCTGAGACTAAATCAGCTGACTAGATGGTTGAGTTGCTCTTAAATCAAATGCTAGATTATCTTTAGTGCTCAGGTACACATTGAATATCATCATGTGTAAGTCATGATTTTAAAAAGTGCAGTCAGAATGGGGCCTTTTCTGTCTAACACAAGTAAATGTTTTGAGCAATTTCTAAGTTGCTGTGTGTTTGTCTCGTAGGTCACTATTCATTGTCAGTAGTCTTTGCTTTGATAAGCAAAAGATGTTTACCATACATGAAAGAAATAATAAGCAGTCCAAATGTAACCAGCATTATTGAAACACCTAAACTGTGCTAGGAGAAAGGCAATAGAAGTAGTACTGTGCAACTGTAAATGCACTGTGATTCTAGAAGGGGTTGTTCATCAGCTTACTGAACGTAGTTTCGTTGTATTTTCTTTGTGAAGTTCTTTAACATAAAAAAACCCAACCAAACAGACAAACAGCTGAAGGGTAGTTTGTAATCACTCATTATTCTTTTACTCAGAGGTGGTTCACAGTTAAAACATGAGTTAAAATTTAAGACAAACTTTCCCTTAATTCATCTCTTATTTGTAGGGCACTTTCTTTCCAAGAGCCCAGCTATCCATCAGTGCTACTCTATGGCTGCACAGCTCCTGAAGTATCTACAGCCCTCCCGTTTTTCATTGTAACTCAGTCCCTTTTCTAGAGTCAGGGAACACTGTAACATAAGAAAGGTGGCAAAAATGGGAAATTTAACTGTGACTTTTGGGGCTGCTCCCTACATGAACTGGACCCACTGAACTGTTCATGATCTCTAAAGGAAGCCTGTGGTACCTGTTGTCCAGGTCTGTGGCTAGCCAAAATTGAGTAGGAATTAATATCTTTCCCAAAAACCATGTTGCAGGACCCAGAAAGTGTCATGTCTCTGGCACTGCAGTACAAGAGAGCACAAGCAGCAGTTAGCTCTTTAAATAAATAACTGTGAATTCTTTTATTTCATCTGACCAAACAAAATAAACACATTTTTACACAAATCTCCGCCTGTCTTTCCCCTTCCTACGCCTCCCTTGCAGGGTCAGGCATCTCTCCAGTTTTGCTCTGTACTCCAGCTGCCTTCAGTGTCTCTCAGCACTTACTAATCCTGTGTGGTATTTCATGAGTAAGAAGGAATGTCTCTTTCTCTACATCCCCTCTGAAGTTTGTCTCTGGGTTTGTCCCCTGGCACAAGCAACAGCCCCAGTTCCTCTCAGCACTATCCCAAGTCACACTTGTGCCCTGTATTTTCCCTCCCATGCCTTTCTGCTCTCCTCCTGTTTCCTGTGTCTTTGGCAGAAAACCTGATTCTGGTGGGTTGATTTTGGCCTTCTGCCAGGCACACACCCAGTTGCTCTCAAACTCCCCCTCATCATAACAGTGGGGAAGATAATGGGGAAGAGTTCAAAGGTCAAGATAAAGACAGGGAGATCACTTACCAGTTACCATTACAGGCAAAGAGTACTCAATGAGGAAAAAAAAATTATTGCTAATTAAGAGTAGATCAGATTGGTGGAAACCATCACCCCCAACCCCCTTTTCCAGGACTCAACTTTACTTCTTGATTCCCAGCTCTTCTCTCTCCCCTGTTCCAGGGGGACAGGGAACGGGGACTGGGAACTGTGGCTAGTCCTTAATGGTACCTCTCTGCTGCTCTTCCTCCTCACACTGTTCCCTTACTCCAGCGTGGGTTCCCTATAAATAGCGGTTCCTATCAGGACAGCTTGGTCCACAGTGGTCTTTTCTAGGGGCTGCAGGGGAACCTCTGCCCCACTATGAAGAACCTCCTCCTCTCAATCTCTTTTCATGTTGGTGTCTGCAGAGCTGTTTCCCAGAACCACAGAATTGTTAGTGTTTGAAGGGACCTCTGGAGATCATCTAGTCCAACCCCCTTGACAGGGCAGGTTGCACAGGAACATTTCCAGGTGGGTTTTGAATGTCTCCAGAGAAGGAGACTCTACAACTTCCCTGGGCAACCTGTTCCTGTGCTCTGCCATGCTCAGCCTAAAGTATTCCTCACACTTTTTTCTCCTCTCTCCTCTCTTGTCCAGTTTTTTTGCCTTTCCTTAATCCTGTTTTCCCTGAGACACCCTTACCATGGCTACAGGGCTAAGCCATGTCCTTCATTGGGTTGTTGGAGTGGCTCAAGCTGGCTGTGTCCAGCACAAGGCAGCCCCAGCCACTCTGCACAGAGGCCCCTGCAGCTGCCATTGCCAGCACTTGGGCACTTACTCCATTGCCATACAGTATGGATACTGTAAGTTAAGGATGTATTAAAAAAAAAAAAATCTTTCAATTCCTGATATTCGGATATTTGTAAGATCTGAGACTATGGCACTTCTCAAAAAAATTTGACTAGGCCCCCTGACACTAGTTACCTGAACGTTGGTTGCCTGTGTGAAGTTACGTATGTAATGTAAAGTGAAGCATCCTTCAAAGGCTGACATCAGTGTTGAATTGTATGAGAAATCAGAACAGCTGGAGTTTTAGATACCTAAATTTTAGGTGAATGGAGTGACGTGTGTTCCATTCTGGAACCAATTCTATCTCATGATGAACACCCGAAATCAGAGATTGCTCCTGAAATTTTGGTGTAAAATGTGTTGTTGAGTCTTCTGTGTTGCACAAAGATGATGTATCCCTTTCCCTTCACTTTCTGAAGACAGGCAGAGTAAGTAACTTGAGTTTTTGTTGGATGTTGCATGTGCACTTGTATTTCGGTACTGCCAAGTACACTGGCATAGCCTCTGTGAATTCACACACCTGTATGCGCTGCAAGTGCTTGCACCCAGCTGTGGCACCGCTAGATGACTTTGCCCACCTGTCACCTGATTTGGGAAGCTCAGCACAAGCAATACTACCTGGCCAGAGCAGGCGGATGTGTTGTGCGCCCTGATGTTGTTCTGGGACAAGATTAATTTCAGCACGCTCATAATAATCCATTATATGTCTCTTTCCAGCACAAATGGACCCCCGAGGCCTATCTCCCAGACAAATTAAAAGTGACAGTGATGATGACGACCTGCCAAATGTGACCTTAGATAGCGTTAATGAAACTGGATCTACAGCGCTCTCCATAGCCAGAGCAGTACAAGAGTAAGTATCACATTCCCAGAGCAAGATGAGTGTTGCTGAGGTGTTCCCAGGCTGATGGAGGCACCGGTGCCACAGGGCTGTCCTCTTGGCTGCGGGCTGCATACCTGTCAGCAACTCTTCTGTCTAGCTTTGTTCCTTTTAGGAAGAGATGACTGTATCTCTCATCTCTCATTCTCTTTTCCTTTCTTTCTCTCTGCCCTCGTTAATAGGTTGAGTTTTAAAATTGAAATTGTTTCTTCCTCTTTATTTACTTGCATAGCTTACGGTGGTTTTATATCCTCTCCAGAGGGAGATCAGGTTAGATTTCCACTCAAAACCCGTTTTTTCTTGACTAAAAGCAGCATCGAGAAGTTGATTCTGTTGCTATCAGGCAGGAACTGGCTACATTTCTCCCGAAGGACAGTGTCATTGGAAGGAAATTAGTGAGTAGTTTTGAACGGTTTTTCCATTGCCATTATTTTTCTGTGTACTTTACTAACTGGACGAACAAATAAGTTCTCAATTTAGTGTCTGTATTGCTTGTTTGAAAAAAGAAGAAACAGTTTATCATGAATATTAGCAATTCTGTAGATATATGAGCTTGTTCAGTCACTGTAGCAGCTGGAAGGGAACCAACTGTGAGGTAAATAAGTATTAATATCCCCATTTTATAGGTGAGGAAAATGAGGTTATGCGTAAAGGTCACCCTGTAGGCCTGAAGCAGAGCTGGAAATAGAACTAGAGCCTCCAGGCACTGAAGCCTGTGCTAGGCATTACTTTATCTGAGAGGTTCAAAATATGGGTATTTTGGATATTCTTAAATAATAATGTATATAACAAAGGCCATTAGACATTGTTATTTTATAAATTATTATGGACACATTTTAATTGTCTTAACATGGTATCTAAAAACTTTTTTCTTTGTTTTCCTGGACATCCAGCAGCCAAAAACGCTGATCTTCCTAAGCCATGTTTGAGGAGGGACTACCTTTTTTTTTGTTTGCATTTTCACCAGACATGTACTAATTGATCTTCCAACCAGGCACCATAACTGTGAACCTCAAACCTATATTATCCTTAAGCAGGGAGAGATGTTTTTATGGGCAAGGAAAGGCAAGGTGTTGGTTCCCGTTGCGATTAGCAGGCTCCCGTTCTGATTGTGATAAAAGAAGGGAAGGTTTCTTTGCCAGTAACACTATTGCTTGAGAGACGGGTCCCTTACGTACTTTGAATTTGCTAGTTGCAGCACTAGGCCCTGAAGTGCTGGGTATTTTGTTCTCAGATTACAGCACGCATAATAAGCCAGAAAAATAAAACAACCCAACATGATTTTGCACTAAGTGGTTCTTCCTAATTAATGAGAAAAGGAAGCATGGAGCACTAGCAAATAATTATGATATATTACTGGCAGGCAGATACTGTTCTCTCTGATGGATGTTGCTTGAACACTTAAAGAATTGGTCAAACCATGAAAAGCTCTTTTAGCCTTTCTACATTCCACAGTCTGTGAAGGTAAATGCGTTGAATATTACTTGGCTGGCTCTGGAGCTTAAGAATTAAATTAAGAAATTTAATAATATAACATCAACTCATCCTTGTTATAGGTTTTATTTAAACAGTAATCTGTTAGTTTATTTCAAAAGCCCCATTAGGAAAATCTAATTTGACTATGATCTGCAATTTGTCGTCTTTACTTCATTCTCAGTCACAGACACCACACATACAGCTGCTGAGCTGAAAAGGAATGTTGGCACATTACGTCAACTTCACTCAATCCATTTCTTTCTTGGTTTGCAATATCGTGCCCTACAGGCAGTCTCTATTCTGATTTTAGGCATCTTATACGTACCTTAATATTAGATGTTTAGCAAAAGAGTCCACTGAAAAAGAAGCCCCCATTCTACATACCTTTGTTTCAGAGAGGAAAGTGCCTTTGAAGCCTTCCGAAGGGAGATCCTGTGTACTCAATTTCAGTATCTAAACTTAGCAGACAGGAATTTCCTCTGAGGACGTGGAAAGGCACCTACTGTTCTGCTGAATAACCAGGCAGCATGGGGACGTGCATAGAAAGACTGCTTCAGTAGTCACTAAAACGTAGGTCCAAGCCAAGTGCCTAAGTGAGGCAGACTGGCCCTTGAGTCTAGACGACTGTCCCTCAGAGTGGGAGCTCTAAGTGAGCTTGTAAACTATTGGGAATAGTTACACAGTGAAAAACAAAAAATACTTTCTTGCATATGCTGGCTGGGAAGTACAGCATGGCGCTTCCAAAGGAATGGCAGCATCCTTTCCTTCAGTACCAGTTGCTGTTGTGCAAGCTTGGCTTTGTTAAACACAATACCAAGCCTAGTTTGTAGATGCTAGTAGCAGGTGCAAGACAACAGTTACCCTTCTCCTGGTTGGTTTTCAGACATATTTTAAATTATTCTGCATAAAGATTATAAATATATATAAGTATGTATATATATTTGCCTATTGCCACCTATTCTCCAAGAGAAGTAAGGGATTTCAAACTGTGTGGGGATTTCACTAACCTGTGGTGGGCATTTGCTTTGCATTGATCCTGTGCAGCCCCTCATGCCATTTGTGGGGCTGTGGGGATTGCCTTGGTGACTTGCCTTTCCTTGCCTCCTGGCTTTCCTTGCGCGTCCAGGATTCATCTTGCCTACATAGGTATCTGCATCCGAGCTGGTTATCTCACCTCCCTGCATATGCGATGGAGAGCAGTTGGTGTGTTCAGACGGTAATTCTTTTGACCTATTCTAGCTGTCTAATTTAGGGAGAGAGAGAAAGAGAGAGAGAGAGTCCACCCTGTGAGTGCCCGTTCCTCTCCACTGACTGCAGGCGGTGCAGACAGCTGCCTGGGACACACGTCAGCACTGCAGATCTCTGGTGTGAGGTGAGGGTACAGCAGTCCACAGCGCCTGACTGAAGAATCAGCGTGCCAGAAGCTGGGAGTGATAAGATCGTACTGAATGCTCCAGCTTTTTGTCTTGAATCTCAGTCTGCTAGGTGGAGTTAGCGATGCCAGGGTTGTAACCACGAGCTGAGGGAAATCAGCTAGTCAGTTTTTGGGGAGAAACTGCTGTTTTAATACAACCACTTTTAAGCCCTTTGTCTTGGAAATTATGCTTATGTGGCTGGGTCGCAGGACAGTTTGGAATGCCTACATGAAAGCTTTTCTTTCCATGTCTCTAAACCTGGAAGGCATCCACCTGTGTTGCTGCATTGTTTCAGGTCCACTGTAGTGTTGCAAGAACAAAACTCTTAGTAAAAATTATGACAGTGAAACACTGAGAGCCACATGTTTGGCATTAGTTCTTATTTACACAAACAGAATGTAATTTGTTTGCATATTTGTAAAATAACCAAGTATGACTATTTTTTCTCAGGGAAATTGCATTCTTGCTGCTAGCTTTATATTGGCTGAGCTTCCAGACTTCTCTCTCAGTAGTTCTTTTGGAATGACTTCATAGTCCTCCTTCAGTTCAACAAACCCAATCAATAATGTAAAGTTATAGATAAACAAAGTCATTATTTCAGGCAGAGTACTTAAGTGAAATTTCTTCATGTGACAGTGCTGCTTTATGGCAGTTGCTATGCCTTGCGAAATATGGACTAAGAAGAATTTATTAATCTCGGATCATATGCTCTGACTGATAATAAATATTGCAGCATTATGGAGATTTCAGTGGGCTTTGCATTGTAAGCAGCATTTCATCCTTTTTGTAGCGTGTTTTACAAACTCACTTTGACATGTAGCTCTCTAACAAAGAGCAGATTTGCCGCTATGCGCCTGACACCACTGATGCTAATTGCACAGCAAGAGTAGCATCATTATATTCAGGGTCAAATCTCAGATATGCTCTAGAAATCTTTATGAAGCCAAGGGAGGAGAAGGCATTAGTCAATCCCTAGAAGACCAATAAAACTTTTTAAGGATCCCTCACAGAGGCAACAAGCTGTTCCGTCAGCCTGGCAGCCCTTCCGTCCCTAGGCTGCTCTGATGCACTGAGGCTCAGGAGCCATCTCCATGGTACATAGTAATGCAAACTCCGAACAGGGCATGCATCTCCTTATTTCCCTGCACACTTGTGTGGTAAAATACATTATTTTACAGCATGCAGCTTTCTCTCTGTGAATATGCACAACTTCAGGTCTCCTGTGTGCAGAGGCTGAGGGCAGAAGCGGGAGAGGCGGAGGGTGATTTTTATATGAACTTCTGATCAATGTATTGGTAACAATCCAGAGATCCAGAAAGTCCTTTTTCTCTCTAGACTTTTTTCTCCCTAGCTGTTGTAGGTGGAGGGAAATCTTTATTGATACTGTTTTTTCTTTCAAATGTCAAGGAAAAGAGGAACTGTGCATATAAACGGATGATGCGCCAGGGAGCGTATTGCTTTTCTGGAGTAGGGGAGAGACAGAAAATTCAAAGAGGAAATCTTGACTACTTCTATTTATAGGTGCAGTTAATTCAGAGAAATGGAATTTGACGTTTGTATGTGACTGCTGTAACCTTTAATGGGAACTCTTCTTTGCACTGAACTGGGTGTCTCTGAGTGCTTGTATGAAAATGAAATTCGGGACGTTGACCCCACCCTTGTTCTCTTTGGCTACTTTATGTGATTGATACATGGATGCTAATGTAATCATCTAACTTTATTTTTAAACTCACTGGCTTCTATTACTGCAGTACAGTAGGAGTTGGTTTTGGGTACAGCCCTAGAGAAAAAGAAAATCCACAGCAGACAGACAGCATAGACACACGGTACCAATGTACTCTCTTAAATTAGGATGAGGTTTTTCAAGTCTTAATTTTTTGCCCTAGATCTCTTTTTCTCTCCCTCCTCTTCTTAAATGTAAATCAACTTTTGTGGCTTATTTTTATCTCTTTTGAAGTTTGTATCTGTGTTTCCATCAGCTGTTCGTTTTCTGCACTGATATAGCTTGTTTCCTGCTTTAGCTGCAATCATTGCTGCTATTGTGCTATTCATTATAAGGAACTTCCACCTCAGCTTTTTCTT